GAGATGAGATCTATGTATGAAATTAGACATACACTGTAAAGTAGTAAACACATAGAAGCTACTGTTCTTATGTAATTCTAATAGTGATAGAGAAGGAACATGCCTTCAAATTCATCCCACAAGTAGTCAAGTATCATTACCCATTGAAATGACAATTGCCAATATCAGTCTAAATTTGCTATTGTTTTATCTGTGTCAAATCCAACTCATCCTTAAAACTCAAATGTTAAACCTTTTATGAAATATTTTGTGTTCCCACTGGTAATTAATTATTTCCACTTCTAACTTGGCATACTATAATAGGTTTTCTTCTTTCCAGGTTGTGAGCTTCCTCAGGCCCAAATCTCACCTGAGTTGCTGTAGGTGCAATATACTCAATAGGTTAAATGAATAATTGGAAAAGGGAAGGAAAGAAAGTAGGTAGAGATAAGAAACTTCTACACCATTTAAGACATTTAGAAGCATAAAAGCAAACATTTCATGAGAACAGGGACCTTGTATGTCTGGCCACTTGCCCCTGCTCCTCTCCCAGTCCATGGTCAATGCTAGGTATTAAAGCTGGTGGCTCCGAGTTTACAAATGAAAGAAAAGGAGACAGGCCAGCTGTAGGTGAGGTCTCAGGTAGGCATGGAATTCTCCTCATGCCATGTTTCATTTTCTCTAGAACAGTCTCCAAATACGCTAGCCTTAGACTATCCCCTTGCCACCCAGAAGCTCCAGTGAGAGTCATTAGAAACTTCCCAAGGTATCATCCTGGCCCGCTGGTCATTCTAGAGCCCTTTCTCCTTTCAAATGGACTGGATCCTATATCCCATTCCTGCCAGACTGTTCCATGCTCCTCCATTACTTGCTAACTTAATAACCACGAATTCCTGTACCAACTTACAGGCACTCAAGGGCCACTTTTCACGGATAATGAAATGTTTCATTCAAAGGAATGAAATATTCAATCCCTGAAGCACTTACTCCAAAGACAGACCCAGAAATATCAGGCACTGCAACTGATAAACGAGGTGGCTTTCAGGTTACACTGTGCCACCTCCTCGCTGGTCTGTAGAAGGCCAGCACTTGAGGGGAGACACGTGTTTCCTTGGAACAGCCGGCCCTTTATGGGCTGCCCCGTAGACTTCTGATCTTATGAACTCCAAGTTTATAAAAAGCTCTGTAGTGAGGCAACGTTGCAGATACTCTGTTAGTTTATTACAAAATAGGCCTTTTTGTGGGATATGGATTTCATCTGTAACTAAATAAAATAGCTGGATTCTTCAGTGAGTAAGAGCTGTACTCCTACTAATCCCCCAAAAGAAACTAATGCTGAAAATCTCTTACAGAAAAATACAGAATTAAAGCATGAACTAAGATATCTGCCTTGGCCTGATCCTCTTTGTTTTGCCTGGGTAGGATGTGGGTGTTAATTGGAACCATCTTTTATAGGAATAACAGGCTTATCTATTTCCTGGTTTCCTTTCCCAGGGTAAAGCACAGAGGACCACAGATAACATGCCTGGTTAATTCTAGCCTCCTCTTAAAGAAGAAAGGAAAGAGTCATGTTTTCTCTGTTGAATTTAACACCAAGATCATTTTACTCATTTGATTAAAACTATTCTTGAGTGTTCCCTGGATAGTTTCCCTCTTTCTTCACAAGATCCTTAGACCTGGATTTTCAAGGTGACTTCATTTGGTTCTCCTCTAGAGACCAAGTACTACACGCAGATCTTGAAGTGTTACTAATCCTTTAAGATTTCAGGGGTCTGAGCTATTTTTAAGCTTTCAAAGATTCTGATAACTGGAGTTTTGTCTCTGATCACTGATAATGGTTTTAATTTGGAGTTGGAGCAGTTCCCTCTGGTAGTAAGTGCAGTTTGGGCAAACAGGGAAAGCTATTGTTCTAATACAGCTAGGGCTCAAATTAAATTCTGCCCAAACAGGTACGGGACTGGAAACCTGGGCTTCTGCTAATGCTGTACTTTCAGGCACCGAGTTCCAAATTTTAGTCCGCCATTTGTCACTTTCATGATTTCTTACATGAGATAAGCACCACTTGAACTTTTAGTTATTCACTGTTTTTCTTTAAACCTGTTCACTGCTCTCTGTGAATAAATTTTCTTACTTCCATAAATGGAAAGCTAACATTACTCATCCTTAATTGAAAGTAATAAATACAATAAGAACAAAGGTTATTAAATTCTAGCTAGATAATATTGCTTACCGAAGGTTCTGAGTCCAAGGCCTGTCTCCCATTATTTAAAAGGGAAATTAACCTGGATTGAAGACATACTGGCACCATGTTGTAATTTTCCTTCAGGGAATATGATGGACTGGAAAAGAAAATTGAAAAGAGAATCCAATTTTCTTTCTTCAGTAACTATTTATGTTCCTGATTCCAAGGGTTACTCAACCCACCTTTGTTATAAACACTTTCATTGAAAAACTCACTCCCTTAATATTCTGAGGATGGGTCAGAGTAATCTGATAATATGTAAAAGGACATGATAACCATAAAGGAGCAAGAGTGCCAGAAAAATGCAAGTGCTTAACACTTGAATGTCTGCTACAGAGGAAAGGTGGCTTTGTCTGTTCCGTCAACAAACGCCTGCTGAGCCGGAGAATACACACTACACTCCCCAGTCTCCCAGCAGTGATGCAACCCACAGGATCATGGGTGGCAAGTGGGCTGGCCCAGTCTGGAAAAGTTAAGGGAAACAAGATATGGAAAGAATCTTGATGATAAACAGGCAGAGAGCTGGTGTGCAGTTGCACACACAGTCGTTTACAAATAAGGTACATGGTATATAGGAGAACAGTGGATTGAGTTTGTGCCACATAGTTGGTGACCTTTGAACAGCCTCAAAACAGCAGAGGACCCTTCAATTGGCATAAATGCTCTCCTTTCCCCACACCTGCAGCTCCCATTTCTTCATTCACAGATGTCACAAATTTAAGACACATGTAAAGTCTGCGAAAGGAGTTGATGCTTCAGCAAGACAAACCATTTTCTGTTATAGGAAGGATACCTTCTATTTTCCATAAATGCAGGTTACTTTTTGAGGAAGTTCTTAAACGTGTGCTGTAAGCTTGTGGATTTTGCTGTATTTCCTTTCCTCACTGGTTGAGGAGGACTCCTGAACCCCGTGCAGCAAAGCAGTTGCGCATTTTCCAGTCCCCTTCGCTGACTTTTGTTAAATGAAGTCACTGCCCCTCTGGAATGAGTGTGCCATCACAGTTTGCTGCTCCGGAGGCAGCACTGTTCAAGGATCAGACAAGCAGTGTCCTTAGGGTCTGCATCTCTGAACCAGCTGCTGCATCTGCTCTCCCTGAAGAGGCAGCACCGCTCCACACCACACCTATTTCTCTGGCCTGGCAGGAAGGCGAAAAGGATTTGCGTGAGCTCTGCCTGCCCAGGCTGTGGAAGTTTCCATTTTCAGAAACATGATGGATACGCCCCTTCTAAGTGATACTAAATCTTCAGCTCACTTACACCTGAAACGTGCTTTTCAGAAACCTGACTTGTCTTTTCTCACACTAAGGCTGATTTCCTAATATGGTCAAATGAGGACTTAAGCCAAACTCCAAACCAAAGAGGAAGATGTGAACTTTCTTAATTTACCGGGCCTCCAGTGCAGCCTCAATGTTTTTTAAAACTGAACTGCAAACAACTTTGATGATTTTTTTCTGTTTTTAAACAGGCATACCTAGTAAAACACCAGCAAGAACAAGAGTTCCATGTGTTCTAAATGGTGTGAAGCAGCATCGCAATGTATTTCTAAAACCGGACTTTAAACAGAACCTATATTGATTCTCTCCCTCTGATTAACTTCATCATCTTTCTGGGGAGGGGTGCAGAGGTCTCCCAGTGGCCTCAGGCCTGAACAAGCCCCAGGCCTCAGGGAGGTAGCACAGGCCAAACTCTGCACAAACTCATGAGATGATGTGTTTGTCTTTCAGGTCCAGTATTTCTTCAAGATCTTGGATAACTAGCAGAACAGAAAGTCAAGAAGTCAGAAATGGGGGCATTTAGACAAGAGTGAATCACACACATAAGGAATGTGTTCATTCTTTTATTGTCCATTGTTTTAACCTGACTGAATACAAGATCAACAAGAGCACTGTACTCCTGGCAATTATTACATATGTTAGAACATGGATTTTGCACTGTAGACAACATATAACGCCAGTCTATGGGGTACTGCATTGCTTTTTATAAAGTTCAAAATAAAGATTTATTTTCAAACAAGTGACTTTGGTTTATTTCATACATTACACTTTTTCTTGCAGAAAAAAATAAAATTGTACAACTGCATAAATATAAAATTCTTCCACCATGAAAATGGTTAAAACATTCATAAAGACACAGCACCAGCATGTGATGCCTCCAGAGAAAGGAAGAAGGAGAGTAAATGAAAATGTACAAGCAAATTAATCAGCCCTGCCACTAACGCGGTGATGGGCAGCTCCAGATCTCAGACATAGCATCGGAACTCACTGGAGGACGGGGAAAGAGATGTCAAGACAGCATTCAATACAAAGCACAACACAACCCATCATTCTTCTTGTGTTTTTCTGTAGTGTCACTTAAAATTTAAAGGGCAGTTCCCCCATGACAGCCCACCCCCCCAGTCCCAGGAAAAAAAAAAAATAAGAAAGACCTAACACCACAGGAAAAGACTACGGAGTGTGTTAAAAATGCTCACTGATGGGCCATTACCTTTGAGAGAGCCAAACCAAAAAAAAAAAAAAAATACAAGTACCATGCCAGTTTTATTCCCATTGAATATTTACACCTTGGACAGCAAACCTTGCTCACATAAAGTAGAAAACAGATATGATAAAACATGGCTTGAAAAATGACCAGAGTATGCACCTATAGTACTGTACACTAAATAAAATACACAAGGCAGCAATACTTAGGGGCCAGAAACACTGCTTACTACAAGTCAGTTATGGAATCATAATTTACAGTAAAAATGGGCACGTCCCAAGGCTCAATTTTTATTTTTCTTTTGTCATTTACAGTAGAATAAATATTTTGTTGCTATTGCTACACTTTAAATTTACATTCTAACCTATTAAATGCAGAAAGCTAGTGTAAAGCATATAGATTAAGTGTAGGTCCCATACGTATGACAGTTTGTTCAAGACTAGTAGGTTTTTGTTTTTGTATCTTTTTTAACTTATTAAATGGCTAGTGGGAAAGATTTTGTGCTTGTGATCAGCTCTTAACTTCAATTTTTACATCAAAACGTCCCTGAAAACGGTCTTTCTCACTGTACCCAATGTTTTCACCATACGCCTTACATTCTATGCGAATTTCAGTGTCCATGGTGAGGTTGGTGAACTGTACAGCCAGCAGGGGCTGCAGGTACTTGGGCTGGAGGAGTTTGCCATAGTAGGGGTAATACTGCAGAGGAAAACCAGCGTAATCACCCATTCCAAAATATTCCATGCTTCCAACTTTCTCCTTATCTTCATCTCGCTGAAAAACAGTGAAATGTGACGTTAGTGGCTGGCATCGTGTGTGACCACTGGTTCTCACATACAGCCCCACAGAACAGTTTGCAAACCACGGCTCTGTGACATGCCCATTTCCAACCTCTTTCAGGGTTAGGGGAGTGTGGAGCCCTGCAGGGCACTGGCATAGAATCTGCCATGAATTAAGAGGACGGCACCTCAGTCTAACCCATAGCAGCCTCAAGAAATGGTCAAAAAAGAGGCCTCTCTCAGTGTGCAAATGGAGAAACTGAGGCAAGGGCCAAATGAACATTTCTCCAAGATAACACAGCCTCCGAGAAATGGTCAACATGGAAAGAAACCTCTCGGCTTTTTTCTCAAAATCATTTGCTCTGTCCCTTCCAAGACTACCAGAGGAGGAACTTGAAAGTCAATAAATCTACAGCAGGCTAATTTTTAAGCTGATAATTTTGTATGGCCTGTGAATGATATTAAAAATATCCAAATGGCCCTTGGCAGAAAAAAGATTCCCCACTCCTGGTAAATTCAGATATCTGAGTCTCTTGTGCCAATGGAGAAACAAACATATAGTTTTATTCCTGTTATATCTTTGTCTCTTTTGTTTTCTTTTTAAAGAAGTATTTATTTGAAAGGTAGAGTGATGGGGAGAAAGAGAAGATCTTTGATCTGCTGGTGCACTCCCCAAATTCGTTCAACAGCCAGGACTGGGCTGGGCCCAAGTCAGGGGCCAGGAACTCCATCTGGGTTTCCCACGTGGGTGGCAAGGACCAAAGTGCTTAAGGCATCATCTTCTGCCTCCCAGGATGCACATTAGCAAGAAGATGGATCAGAAGGCTAATTTTTAAGCTGAGACTCAAACCAGGTCCCCAACATGGGATGTGGGCATGCCAAACAGAAGCTTAACCCACTGTGCTCCAATGCCCGCCCCTCCTTCTTTTTCAAGAAGTTTTGACCCAGTACAGCTACACATCAACTAACTGAGGCTAATACCTAAAAGCACTGTTTCTTGCTTATGACATTAAAATTTTATCTCTAATTGAAAATACACTCACTCCTCCTCCCCTCTTCTGCCCCACCTTCCCACCACCCTTTGTAATAACCCTAAATGCCTCCTTACCTTGCCAGTGCACTGAACCGGCAGCACATTTGGGTTATACTTCGTTCCTGGGGAAAACTCCAAGGAATCATTCTTGGGAGGCTAAAAATAAAATACATGTTGGTCAGTAAGACTGTAAACAATTATTTAAGTTTCTGAAAAATAAAACTAGTCTGCAGTCCAAACAGTTAAGTCAGCTGAAAAAACAAAACACTTCAGAAAGGGAGACAGAAGTGTCTCCAATCTAATTAGGAAAGGTCATGTTTGTGATTTTGTTGAAATGATAAGTGTCCAAGTTTTGCAACCAATACACTCAAACCATGTAATAGCCCGGCACTGAATGGAATTTCGAATGGTAACCCATCCTATTAAATGCACTGAGAAGTAGGAGCCACCCCCTCCAAAATATGCTCATTGTTTAGCTAAGATGATAATGACATGGGCAAGTTGCCTGGCATTTCAGTGTTCATAAAACCTGCACTCTTCCTGAATCGTGACTAAGTAAGGCCATGCCTTCCGCTAAAGAATGCATATGACTTCTTGAAGTAGACTTTTTTTTTTTAATGTTCAGTAGGTGAGACACTGCTTTTTAAGAGATGTTTCTTTCCAGTTGTTAGGAAGGTCCAAAAAATAAAACAGGGTGAAGAAACAGCCACGCTAAGTGAGATGCTGCAGAACTGTAATCTGACAAAATAATCCCAATGACTAAACAGCTGGGCATCTGCTGCACCCTGCAGTTTACAAAACTGTTCATCCCGGCCTTGATTTTCTTTTGAACATACTGTTAATAGGTAACAAGTATTGTGGAGACAAATTAGTAGCACTCATTAAGAAATCAGGGGACAAAGGAGACAGATTTCAGAAAAGAGGAGTCTCTGCCCCTAACCCAGTATACGGCAGTGAATCCCTATTGCAGTTAGGAAGGACACTCGTAATGGCAGTGCTCATGTGGGTGATGGGGGAAACCTGCAGGAAGAAGTCAGGCTGAAGGGAAAAGACAGCACGATTTACCTCACGATCTGTGGGAGAGACACCACACCAGCTCTTTCAAAATTTTATAAAAGCAGAGATGACATCCATCTTTGCTTCTTCTGAATAATTACAGTATCAATTTACCATTTCTTCAGTAACCTCAAGTAACGCTACCCATTGTTAAGCTGCAGTAATACAAAAAGCTAGCAGCATGATTTTCAAAGTTGAGCCTATATGGTGTTCAACTCTCATTTGTTCAATACAAGCATTATTCAGAAACACATCAATTTCTTCAGCAAATTTTTAAAATATTTTCGTGGCTCCAGGAGGACCAAGGCTAGAATAGGACTGCACATGCAGTTTTTAAATTTAAAAATATCTTTTTCTATTTCTGCTTTAAAGGATTTATGTTCGAGAATCCTGTTATCTGGATATTAAGCAGAAGTACCACAAATAAAGCCACAGGACTCACTTCAGAAATTGGCTCTGCCGGTCCAAATTTCTCTTTAGAAAATGAGATTCGTGCCCTAACTAGAGGAATTTCAGGGTGGATTCATAAGTTTTTGGTGTTACTCAACTGAGTGTGTTACAAAAATCAACATCTCACACACACAGTCCAAGAACTCCATCCAAAGTCTTCCCAACTGGTCCAAACTCTGGAATTTAAAATCCCACTTGCCTTAGGTTTGAAGCCCAGAACTCGGTTGAGCTTTATAATGATGCAGGGTTTGCCGTCTTTGTAGCCGTAAGTTTCGTCATCTATTCCAGAGCAGTTCCCCAGCCAGTTGAGCTTGAATCTGCACACCTTCCGCTGTCCCCGTTCATTGTTAAATTCGCCTCGTTCTTTAGGTTCACTGGGCACGTCTAGAAAGACAAACATCATTTTTATATTGTTATCAGCAATCCCCATCACACCACTTAAGAAAGGAAAAGAACTGCCTTCCTCGTCAAAATGACCCATCCTGAGACAGTGCTATTGTTCATGGAATACATGGCGGAACGAAGCAAGGATTTCTCTTCACTGACAGTAAAAACACACCCGACCAAAAGTAATAGCTGGTTCAGACCTTACACCAAAGCGGCAGAGTCCGTGGTGATCAGCACCTGGTATTTGGTCTCTGGTAATATTTCTCTTCCTTTGAATAATGGATTACTCAAGCTGTTTATAGAAGACTGAAAGGAAACTGGGTCATGTTTCATGAGTAACATCGTTTATACAGGGCAACATTTGCTGAGCTCAATAACAGGGACATTATAATTAAAATACACAGTAAAAGGGCTGTCAATAATTGGGGGAAGTGGAAGTTTCTTTGGTCCTGATTTCCTAGAGCCACGCCCATAATTAGCATGTTAAACAGTAAAGCAGGGGATAGGCAAAGAATGTTTTTTTTCCTGTCCAATCATTATTGATCTTTTTCTTAATTTTTTGAGTTTCTGCCTTTTAACACTCTGGCTTTTTTAAAAATAACTTCTTCAAATGAGAAATTTTATTGTACAATTTTAAATTCAGACTTCATGTAAAAACCAGAGAAAGACTAAATTAAAACAGAATTCAAAGTTAATACACAGCATCCTGCAGGAACCTGATGCTAATATCAGTTTTTCTATATATTTAAATATCTATGCATATTATATACTAATTTTATATTGTATGTAAATCATATATTTATAATTTGTATGCATATAATATACATGATAGTATATCTCTATATTATATATTAATATTTATGTATTATATAGATGGGAAAATGGCACAGTAAAAATGTTTCTTTTAAATTACTAAATCTTTCCAAAACAGGTCCTGTGACAGATACTCTGACCAGAAACCTTCCCCAGCAGAAGTGTGGTTACTGCAGCTGTGACAGCAAAGCCCATCCACTGTGCTGAGAAAGACATGAAACTGCAACTGTGGCCTTTGGGTCTGACTACTAAGAACCAGAGGAGTCTTGGGAATGTTTCAAACCAAGACCCCTTTCAAATGCAGAAAACTGGAGGGCTTGGGCTATATCCTTTCTTCCATGGCATCCTCTGGCTTGAAGAAAAGAGAAGTTCTCAAGATGGCCTGAGTTCAGTCTTCCCATCGCTTCAGGAGTCGCACTCAATCACTAACTAACAGAAACAGGAAGCAAGAACTAAGCAAAAAGAAAATAGTCACAAATATCGGCAATGAATCGACTTACCGCCACAATCTTCAAAAACCATGTCATCCTTCTGGGCGGAATCTTTGTACTTTTCCAGGAACCTGACTATGTTCACCACATATTCTTCATAGCTCTTGGGATCACTGGGACGAAAGGCAATTTCAGTCTTTTGAATCTGAGGAACCTGTGTTAGTCCTAAAACATATAAGAAAAAAAAGAGAGAGAAAGAGGGAAAATAATTAGTGGAAAAGCAAAAAACCAAGATCATTTCTCTATACAAAATATATTTTGCAAACTGCACCTGGCTAAAAAAAGAACTGATTGAATTTTACTTCCCTTATGAAATCAATCCCTGGGCATTTAAGTACCTAAGTGCCAGTGATTATGCCTTCGTATCCTGCATCACTTAATTTATCTAGCAACACTTTAAGGGCTACTTAAGGGTAGAAGGCCTGCTCTAGGGAATTGGAAACTGGAGTTGTAATAGTGATAATTAATGTGGAGGTGGCGTGTATATTAACTACTTGGCAGTGCTGTCTGTAGGCTTGAGAACCATGCTCCAAGTAGCGGCTGTTTTTCTAAGAGAATGAGAAAGGCTTTGAGCGTCAAACGTGGTTAAACAATGAGGTGGATCTAGTTTAGAGAGCTGACTGAGCAGGTTTCTATACGGATGCAGTGCCCTAGAGGAATGGAAGAGATGGAGATGAGAGTCCACAGCCAGGCAAGGGGTGGTCCAAGACAATTGACTGTAGGGGTGACATAGAGAACCATCTCAAAAGTGATAGAAACCTGAAGAATTCGGGGGAGGGGGACACTTGTCAACAGTGAAGGAAATGAGCCCAAGAAGGAGCAGAATTTGCTCATTTAAAAATCTCCAGTTTAAAATAAGCACAGGTTCCTACAATTACATTTATAAAAGGTCATCACAACCACAGAAACATACTGTTATGTCCAAAAGAACTTAAAATCTTCTGAACAGTCTTTTTCCACATTCCTGTATACTACAAGGAAGCAACACAATGAAAAGCATATTATCCACAGAAATAAAGTATCAGCTTCCACTGAAATTCAATGCTTGAGACAGCAGCGGCAAACAGAGCTCCCGCTGAGAGAGGGAGGGCTGTCATGGGAGACACTCCTGGTCTGGGTTGTAATTAAGACTTGATTTAAGTCAAAGTAACCCACCTGGGCTTCCCCAAAGGAGTGCTGAGATCAGGGGAGAAGGAAGCCGGAAAGGACAGCCACACCTGAGGGCACCCAGGTGAGCCAGAGATGCGAGGGGGAAAAAATGCTAGGGAGGAGGTTTGCTAGAACCTCGTGAGACAGGAGGCTGGTGGGGAGGAATGGGCTAAGAGAAGGTACGTGTGCTCAGGGTTAAATGGTGTATCCAGCCTGGGCAAGAGAGGGCAAGAGAGGGGTTAAAGGATGTAGGGGATCAAATGTCAGAAACCAAGGCCTGGGAGCAGGGTGGTGGGTGGTGGGGACACCTGCAGCCAGCTGAGGCAGAAGCCTGGCATGAGATGCGGAGGATCTCACTAAGCTGACAAAAGGACCCTACAAGGTCACAGTGAGCCCTGAACGACATAGTGTGACACGTGTCTCTATCCCCTTAGCCTGGCGTCCCCAGCAGTTTGCTGCTCACTTTGTGGGAGCCTCTGCATTCTCTCTTCCAAAGACCACTGGAGATTCCATTTGTTTGATGCGTGTATGAGGAATAGCAAAGTCACTTCTCAGATTCTCCCAGAGAAAAGAGAGGGCAAGAAGAAGGGTGATTGTGCTGAGTGCTTTCCAATGATGCCAAGTCCAGGGTCTCCACTGTAGAAACAGACCAGGTGGGGGCCTGTGCTGTGGCGTAGCAGATAAGGCTGCCGCCTGCAGTGCCGGCATCCCATTTGGACACTAGTTCGAGTCCCAGCTGCTCCACTTTCAATCCAGCTCTCTGCTATGGCCTGGGAAAGCAGCAGAAGATAACCCAAGTCCTTGCACCCCTGCACCCATGTGGGAGACCTGGAGGAAGCTCCTGGCTCCTGGCTTCAGATCAGTGCAGCTCCAGCCATTGCGGCCTTCTGGGCGAGTAAACAAGTGGATGGAAGACCTCTCTCTCTCTCTCTCTCTCTCTCTCTCTCTGTGTGTGTGTGTGTGTAACTTGGACTTTCAAGTAAATAAATAAATCTTAAAAAAGAAGGAAGGAAGGGAGGGAGGGAGGCAGGGAGAAAGGGAAGGCAGGTGGGTGGGGAAGCAAGCTCTCTCTCTCTCTCTCTCTCTGTGAAGGAAGGAAGGAAGGAAGGAAGGAAGGAAGGAAGGAAGGAAGGGAGGGAGGGAGGGAGGGAGGAAGGGAGGGAGGGAGGGAGGGAGGGAGGGAAAAGCAGGAGCCAGCCGCTCCTTCTCCGTCTTCTTGGCTCTTTACTAACAAAACAATTCTGCTCCTGTATATTTTTCAGAAGCCTAGTCTTGGTCAAGACTAAGTTCATGTTCACTCAGATACCTATGCCTATGCCTGCCTTTCTTACTAGCAAGCACTGCATCTAACATTTGCGGAAACAGAAAGTCTTGTTCCATGCCACTGTGCTACTGGCCCAGAAAACAGATCTACACAACTGGTCTCAGGGCTCTCAAGGGAAAGCAAGTGAGGAATAATGAGGCAAAGTCATGGAATCGCACCGATTTCTGCCCGCAAGCGTGAATCCTTGTGAGCTAAGCGCATGCTCTAAGCCCAGTCAAGTGTTACCATGTGAGGAAACCCAGGTCTGCCTGAAGAATCCTGGTGCTGTTCTGATCAGAGAAGCATCATCAGCAACAGGAAACCAGAACACAAGGATGAAATGAGCAACTAAGCTTCCAGACTTGTCCAACTGGAACAGATCTCGGGCCAAGGTCTCTGCCCTGCCCCTTCCACGCTGGGCGACAGAGAACCTTGGCAGAGGGAGCTGTGAGACAGGTGAACCCCAAGAAGCTCAGCCTTGCCAACTCTCTTCTGTGGGCTGAAGCTCCCCTCTGGCATCTCGGAGGGGTCTCCCAAGTGGTAACTAACATCAGCCTTAGTGGCCATCCTGCTAAGATCTATGTCTGTGGTCAGCGTTTGTCACAGTAAAGAGGCTGCTCCAGATACCCCATCCCATATCAGAGCGCCTTGGTCTGAGTCTGCAGCTTCTCTTGCAATTCTAGCTTTCTGCTAATGCTTGCCCTGGAAGCCAGGAGGTGATGGTTCAAGTACTTGGATCGCTACCACCCAAGTCGGAGACCCTGATAAAAAGAGTTCTGGGTTCCAGGACCAGCTGTTGTGGGCAACTGCGGGGGAGAACCAGAAGATGGATGATTCGCTCTCTCTTACATATATACGTAGACACCTGGGAGGCCGTCCCCCAGCCAAGGGGCCACAGCCTCCCTGTAGGTTCTTCTCCCTTTCCTCACATTTCCGGAAGTTCGCTCAATCATCTACTACCCCAGCCTCCTGTCTTATCTTCATCTACAACCTAATGGTCAGGGAACATCTCCTCCCGGAGGTCACCACAGGTCAGTCCTGGAGCCTGTTCTTTCTGGCCAGTGTTAACTGGGAGAGTTCCAGGATGAGATCTTCTCCAGTCCATTAGGAAAATCCTCCTCTCCAAAGCAGTTAGGTACTCACAAAAGACAGATGGAGAGCCCTCGATCCTTTAAATCATTTATTATTCATCTACCGAACTGTTGGAAAGAAGACAGAGAAGGGACTGGATTGGATTTGGCAGTTCTATATTCTTTCGAGCCCACATAAAAACTCCCCATCTCATCACTCTGCAAGGGTTGCATAAACCCCACCCTGCTGCCAGCAGTTCTCATCAGCTCTTCTCATGCTACAGGGGAAACTGGCAGCTCGCCCCTCTCTCCATTCCCTTCCTTGAAGTTGTGAGTTACAGTTTTGGACACCAGTGACTTTGATTGCAGTGGTGACTCCCAGAGGCCAAAGATAGCAGAACACCCAATCACTGGCTTGAGGTTTAGAGTTATATTCCAGGAAACAGATCTACCCTTTCGCTTCTCCAGTCTTCTAAACAGGCTTTACATCGACTATGCTGGGCTCTCTGCAGCTCTGCTCTGCTAGGAGCATTTGGTTTAAAGCACAATATCATTACTCAATACAGAAGCCTAAAAAGATGGAAATCACAATTTGGGCATGTGAAATTCTAATATTCGACTTTCAACAAATATTTCAAATTTATATAAGATTTTGACTTAAAAATCCTTTTAAGGAGATAAATTTGCCTTTCATCTGTCTTGGATCTCTCGAGAAATGAATAAGAAAAATACTCCCTATCTTCAACAAAGGAGATTTTATTTTTTTTTTTAAAAGATTTTTTTTTTTTTTGACAGGCAGAGTGGACAGTGAGAGAGAGAGACAGAGAGAAAGGTCTTCCTTTGCCGTTGGTTCACCCTCCAATGGCCGCCGCGGCCAGCGTGCTGCGGCCGGCGCACCGCACTGATCCGATGACAGGAGCCAGGAGCCAGGTGCTTTTCCTGGTCTCCCATGGGGTGCAGGGCCCAAGCACCTGGGCCATCCTCCACTGCACTCCCTGGCCACAGCAGAGAGCTGGCCTGGAAGAGGGGCAACCGGGACAGAATCCGGTGCCCCAACCGGGACTAGAACCCGGTGTGCCAGCGCCGCTAGGCGGAGGATTAGCCTAGTGAGCCGCGGCGCCGGCCAAGGAGATTTTATTTTAAACGTCTCTGGTGGGCTGCTGTTGTGGCATAGTGGGTAGTCGCCAAGTACATCCATATGGGTGCCTGTTTGGGCGTGTCCCGGCTGCTGCCTGCTAATGGCCTGGGAAGAGAAGCAAAGGAAGGCCCAAGTGCCTGGGCTCCTGCCACCCACGTGGGAGACCTAGATGAAGCTCCTGGCTTCGGCCTGGCTCATCTCTGACCATTGCAGCCCCTTGGGGAGTGAGCCAGTGGATGGAAGGCCTTTTTCTCTGTCTCTCCCTCTCCCTCCCTAACTCTTTCAAATAAATAAATAAATCTTAAAAAAGAAAGAAAGAAAAAAGAAAAGAAAGGAAAGGAAAGAAAGGAAGAAAAACACTCTCATCTTTGACCTTAGCAGGAGCGGAACCAACAAGAAAAAAAAAAAAAAAAAACAAGGAAGAGGAAAGAGAAAAAAGAGGCTTCTTGTTAAGAAAGAAGTATTTAAATTAGGATGCAGCCATTTTAACCTTGTCCTCATTACT